GGCTAAATTCATTACAGCTTAAAAACATACAAATTGTTATCCAACAGTTATCTGAGTGGTTGGAAACTATTCTTCATGCATTGTTACGGGTAGATAACAGCATTTTTTCGCCATATCTGCATCATTGACCACTGGTTGCTTAGTACCAACAATGTTCACTTTAAGCATCTGGAACTACTTTTTTCAGCGGAAGGAACTGCCAGAATTAAAAGCATATCTGAAACAAAGTTCAGGGCTTTCTCGGTTTACTGTTTTCTTTATATTGTTGAAATGCTGCATAAAACAGTGTTAAAATAGTGTTACCACGAGATGGCTTACCACAAAAAAAGCAGAGGATGACACACTGTCCAGTGTTTGATTTGCTACGCTGTGTCCCAGCTGTTTTTGTATATAAAGTATGGAGCACCAAAGTTGAGTAATAACAAAATGTTCTTTACTTTCAATGTAAGCAAATGTAAAGAGATTTTATTCAAAGCAATTATGGAGCATTTCTATTCATTTAATCATCATGAAATTTTCAGATAATATAAAGGACAGCTGAGCTTAAATTATGCAGAAAAAAAACTGAATAAATGGAGATACTTGTCTTGCAGCGACAATATTTACCATTAGTCAATTTGCGAGTAAAAAAATAAATAATTCATGCTGTAACAAGGAATTGAACTAGTTTTATTCAACTAAAAAAAAATTACAATGACTCAAAGGATCGTTCATTCAAGATATTTATTTAGGTTGAATAAAACTAGTTGATTTACTTGTTACCGCAGGAAGTCTTTTTTTTAGGTTGATCTGACAAGCAAATTTTTACAGTGTACAATTCAACACGAATCGGAAAAACAGGAGCTACTCACTGCTGGAAATTCTTAAAAACATGGTGGATGCTGAGCACTCCTATAAATAAAATGAAACTAAAATTCATGCCAGAACATTTCTGGTTTAAATTCAATCATCCAAAGGAACCACAGCTTAATACGAAGAAGGTCTTCACTGCAACACTGTTACTTCCTGAAACATTGCAGTACATTCATATTTTGCATATCAACCTACAAACATTGTAGACGGTTAGGATTAGCGCACATTATTTTAAGGCGTTTTTTTCTGCACAAAGTACTGGAACCTTCAGCATCAGTAACAGTGACCAGTAACCAGTAACAGCGCCAGTGGAGAAGCATGTTCACCTGTATTTCGTAACAAATTCTTCACTCTTCCAGGTGAAGATGAAGTCACTAAGTGCCATTATATCACAAATACGGACGTAAACTAGAATAATATGTCGATGTGTTGGTTGGTATTGTTAGATTTATTACTTTGCAAACAGTTTTCTAAGGTGATATAAGCTAGTTAGGAAGCCAAAGCTAATGCTATTAGCATCTGTTCAAGCCTTCACCGAAGAAATGTTTATGCTCATGATCTCACAATCGACAAAAAAGCTTTTTTTGATTCTACACATGATTCTGGGTAACTGTAGACACAGAAAAGTGCACTTTATTATTTAAGCAATGATCTCAAGATAACTTTTGTTATCTTCAAGATCACAAGACAGATAAGTCGTGATCTCAAGGTAACAATGCAGAAAATAATAACTACCTCATGGCCTCTCTGGGCTTATATATAAAGTGGACTGCTAGCTATTACACGTTCATAAATAAAGTTAATTGCTTACAGTAGGATCCTGAAACAGGTGGCTAATGCGAGTAGGACACAGCATCTAGCTATGCTACAAACAACAGTGTAATAAACCTCTTATCAAGCACCGTTAACAAAGTCAGACAGGCTTAAATAACCTAGCTGCTGGGGATTTTGGCTCAGACTTTGAGCAGCAGGAGATCAGTCACTTTATGTGATGGAGAGGAACGTGAGTAGCTGACGTATATATCGCTACTGTCGGAACAAAACCTCACATTTTTCAGTTTTTATCATAATTTGAAAATACCTGTTAACCTTTACATTGTGTGCAAATTTCATGAATAATGGACCAAAGGAAACAGGCCAAAATGACTTGGAAAGATGTCTGGTTCCATTGACTTACATTAAAAATAAAGTAGGTTTTTTCCTTCTCCTGTAAAGTTACCATGTTGGAGATACAAGGTTTTGTTCCGACAACACGATATATTGCTAACTCTGATTGGCACTTTGGCAGATCCGACATCACCTGCACCAAATTTAGGCTCCCCCAACTCAAACTGAACAGATAAAAGAAAACAGCAGGAAAAATCTCTCAACAAAAAAAAGACCAACAGCATTCTTTCTCTACCAGTTCATACTAAATCATCACAAAAGCTATAGATAATATAGAAGAAAACCATGAAAGTGAGTGGACGGGGGCTTTAAGTGTACAGTTGGAACACATTAACTTCAATACTGCAAGTAACTCCTCTGCTGAAAAACACAGCACAAACCAGCATGAATTCCATACTGGTCTAAACTGGTTTATGCTGGTCCGGTGCTGGTTTAGCTGGTCATACAGCATCATTATGCTGGTTGACCAGCATAGCAGCATCCAAAACACAACATATGCTGGTTTTTTTTACAGCCATGCTGTTTTTTCTAAATGGTCATGAGGCTTTGGAACACTTCTCTTGCATTTTTGTCACTTGTGACAAACTAGGACGAAAAAAAAAAAACCCAAAACAAAGAAATCGAGCCAGCAAAAACTGATCCAGTCCCCAGGTAAGTACTTAGTACTATCACCCAAACTCATTAGAGGGAGATTTATGGGTAATTGAACTGGAAAAACAATCACAGCAGCTCTTCAGAGCTTTGGGTGAAGGTTCCAATACTCACAAACAGAGAACAGGCAGATTGGAACTTGAGCAGATTAATTCAGTTTGGTGGAAAAAGCCTTGCTCGAGGCCTCGATGCAGAGCTGACAGACTTCACTCCCTCAGGGTGAAGGGTTAATTTCGCATTCAGGCGTCCCGTCAGCGCTAGATTGACAACTAATTACAATCACATCAGTCCTCACGAGACTTTTACCATGTCAGCTGCGAGTGACAGAATTTATTTAAAGCTGCACTATGTAAGAAGCAGCATTACTGTGTGAGGAGACAAAAAACACACTAAAATATGGTGAACGTGCTCTGTCGCCCTGTAAAGCCTGAAATAATCATTTAAAAATCTGAGGTGTTGGGTGGGACTTTCTGACCACGTCTTATGTCTTTATTTATTAACGTCACATGCACAGGCTCAGAAAGAAGGTCCAGCTCAATGTTTGTGTGCAAAACCAACATTATACTGATGAAGATGTGATGACACTAGTAGACTATTCACTCACATCCTCAGAAGACGCCCTTCACCAAGTTTTGACTGTGTTCTCTTCGAATTCTCTTTCGATCATCAGATTCATCCGCTCGGGGAAGGGGGGCCAAAGTACAAACCATGCTATCGAATGTTCTTTTGCACACTGTATGCAATTACATGTTCCCACCAGAGAGGTCTCCAAATCCCCAAAACGTACATAGTGCAGATTTAAAGAAATCCTTGTACATCTTAAAGCCAAGTCAGGCCCGTGACACTGTCCTATTCCGCCCGCAAAATTATTTTAATTTCTATTCTTAGTAGCCCGTTTCACCAAAATGCACTACAGTCCCCAGCATGCACTGCAACACAGTGGGCATTCTGACCCCCTTACCCCAACATCAATGCACAGGCCAGCAGTTACACAAAAAGAAAAGATGCCTGGTGTCTAGTTCAAGCAAATAGGTAGTATTTTTAAAAACTACCTAAAACTAACTAAGTATTCAATGCCTATTTTGCTGTTGCAGTCTTTAAATAAACAATGGCCCATTTGGGTCATGGCAAAATGTTAAGTAAAAATGGAATAAAAACACAACTGGTCCACAGATTTGCTGAGATTTTTTTAATATGGCCCTTTTAGTGGTTGAGTTTGACACCCCTGTCTTAAAGGTTGAGAGCCAGAGTTAATCTTTATGATACAAAAGGCAAGAAGAATGCCGAGACCCAGGATTGTCTATAGAAAAATCGAATGTGGTCCATATGCCAAGACATGTTTGGTGTGCTGAGCTGAGAGGCCAACGTAGCTAACAAGTAATGGTTTACTTACATTTAGCTTGAATTACTTCACATTAGAGATTACTTAACAGCTCGAGATGCAAAACTTCAGACAGCAAACATGTCTTGGCTGTTTGATTGCCATTGGAGTAAAAAAAGAAAACTGTAGATGTTTCACCAAAGAATTCCTTAAAAAAAACAGATTTCTGCTAATCTTGGTACAGAAACCTGAAAGTAAAGGGCTCAAGTTGACATTCATGGTACAGTGACAACGAATGGCAAGAAGGGAACATCTTCAAGTCCAGAGAAATCTGACTTGAGTACCTGAACATCTCAAACATCACGCCACCAAACTCCTAGTTCAGCTCAGAGCACGTGTGACGTCCCTAAGGTCTGTTAAGTCTCTCACCGCGTTCTGGAGAGCTGTTCTGTCTAATATAACAGACGTATCTGGTGTCCCAAAGGCCTCATGATGTGAGATACCTGCAAGGGTTCTGGGGGACCTCTTGCTTGCTTTCACAGGTTCACAGAGACGAGCTAAACTCAACTCAGCTCCATCTGGAACCCCAGCCTGGAACCCATCTGTCCTGAGCCAACATCCATCATCCTGCTAACCGTGCGATGACCATGCCAGAAGGGTGAAAGCTCTGAAAGACAAGGAACGCTGGAGTCAACCTTTGACAAACTCCTCAAGCTGAAACCGATGACAAAAACCAAAGACAGAAAGCACTGTGCAGCTTAAACAGTTGACTTCATGGCAAGACTTCTTACCGTTGCTCTATAAACAACCCGATAACATGGGTGGAAAGTACAAACGGCGACCCTGAATGGCTGCGGCAGCAAGTTTAAAGCTACTTAAGGAAAGAAACGGGTATTTATGGCACATTAAAACAGAAATAAACATTTTATTCAATAACAATTTATGCCAGTAAAAACAAACCAGACGAAGGAGACTTTCTCAAAACCACATTTATACAAATATACCAAAGGACATAAATATATGACAACTTCTCTCATGCTTAAAAATAATTTAATTTGGTTATAAAACACTATAAGAACAGCCAAACTGCCAGAACAAAAAAGGAGAATGCTTGCTGAAGGCACTAGAGAAGATCTTGATCAGCACATAGAGACAGATATCAAAATTCATAATTAAGTTGCAAATGGTCACAAATAATGGCTTTAATGTAGCAGCATGCCCCACTAGACCACAGGACAAAAGTATTTGTACTAATATAACGTTGCTGTTGCAACAAAACCTTGTATCTCCAAAATGGTAACTTTACAGAAGAAGGAAAAAAACACACTTAACGTTGAACGGAAGTCAATGGAAAAGTTTTCCAAGTAATTTTTGGGTCATTGGAATTTTACTGCATTATAAAAGACAGCTGGCGTTTTCAAATAAAACAAAATGGAAAAAAAATGTAAAATAATAAAGAAATGACAAAAATTGAGATTTTTGTTTTGTTCCGACAGTGATATGCTAACGTAGTGCTGAAATCTTCGAGCCTCCTGCAACTGAGAGCTGGTATAAATCTCACACAGCCTGAAAAAATCATGGACATTTCTGCATTAGCTGTAATGAGTAACTATGTTTAAAGCATTTTATAAAGACTCACAATAAATCAATAAATAATCACACTACAGAAACAGTACTGTGATTGGTACGTTGGCACGGTCAGATTGAAGAAGCAGGAGCTGGTGTTAAAGGAATAGCATGGTGAAAAACCAAATCACCAACACCCCCACCCCCACCCCCACCACAATCAAAGAAACGGGGGCTTATTTAGTTTAAAACTGGGGCTACAAGGCTTAAAAGGATTAAAACTTCTGTATACCAATCAGCTAGGTATGGATAACAGTACGTCATACAGGATCAGAAATGACATAATCAGGTCTATTAGAGATTCCTTCACAACTCCACACGGTCTGAGGCAGGTGAAGTGTGATGATACAAGCATGGAATTTGATGCTCATCGATGTACATAAGATTGCATTACTTGGAGATTCAATGCAAAACTAAAGAGGCAAAACATGTCTTGGCTGATCAAGTACATTTGGTTTCAATTTTTGCTGAACTGTTGCTTTAAGAGCGTGTGGGCATCCCCAGGTTGAAGAGGATGGAGCTGAGGTTGATGCTGAGGAAAGCTCGAGCCGGGTCGGCCGTCCTGTGCATTTCCTGCAGGAGCAGGTGCAGCGAAGAGGCTTCGAATAGACGCCTGTTCTTCCTGTAAACACACATATGCATACATAATGAGGAGTTAGAGTAGAGCTGGGCTATATGGAAAAAAATATTGTGATAAATATGCAAAATACCTCGCTAACATGATGATGATTAACTAAAAAATGAAAAAGCATTAATAACTGTTATGGTATTTACACAGTCAAGAAAGGTGGTTTAGCATCTGACTGACTGCATTTCTCTGAACTGTGGGAAACCCATGCAGACATGGGGAGAACATGCAAACTCCATGCAGAAAAGACCCTGGTTGCCCGGCTGGGGAATCGAACCCAGCCCTACATTTCCAATGGTATGTGACAGCCTTTCTAATGAGTGAATTCAGCCACATTAAGGTCACCCATTGCTGACACAGCTTGTATAATATCTCCAGAAAAGCATGGACCAATTAAAGAGGACGCTCTGGAGCAGCTAAAAATGTGCCTAAGGTCACTGTGACCAATGCTAAGCGTGTGCTAGAGTGGTATAAAGCCCCCCAGCACTGGGCTGTGGAGCAGTGCAGCTGGATTTCCCGGAGTGATGGAGCTCCATCCAATACCTTTGGGATTAGTTGGAGTGATCCAGAACTGTCCGTTCAACATCAGTACCTGACCTCACTAATTCTCAATCAAATCCTCACAGCAATGTTCCAACATCTAGTGTAAAGCCTTCCCAGAAGAGTGGAGGCTGTTACTGCAGCAAATAGGAAACAAACACCCTACTAATTTAGAAGAAATGTAACTTTTAGTCTACAAACTTTTGGACATGTAGTACAGCTTCTGCCTGGCATTGTTCTGCATCATCAGCTTTCAGAGTGGCTCCATTTAAGGGCATATGACTCTTCTTGGGTGTTAAACGTTCTCACTTTATTTTAGTTCAACTTACATCTGTTGTTGTACCAGTTAGAGCTAAGAGAAATTATTCTCTGTGAAAAGGCCTGCTCTGATTGGCTGTCGGCAATATCTCAAGTATTTGCATTCTTTTCAAATAACTGTTACTCAATGTAGCTGCAGTAAAATTATTGACAATATTGAATTTTGAAAAATATCACTGATGCAATAAATTAAATGCAGATACTGGTTACTTAATTACTGCCCAGCTCTAGAACCAAGTACTGAGGGACTAAGGACAAGTTTCTCCCCGGTTACAGATAAACTGAACCCTCCCTTAATTCCAGAATGGGAGCAGGCCTCCAGATGGACTTTTGGGAAGTCAGAGGAGGTTTCCAAACCTCCACACTGTACTGTGATCTCTCCTAATGAGGGTTAACGATGCTGTTTAGAAAGCAAAGCTAAACTAATGAGGGTTTCCTGTCAGCCTGTGAGCTCGGCAGCTGGAACAGTGATGACATTTGGAAAGTGCCTCAGGAAATTATACGGCTGTGATGATGTAACTCAGGCTTGGTGAGGGTGGGGACAGACCTGATGCCAGAGAGCCTCTGGAGGAGGATGCTGAGCTTCTCCACAAGGTTGAGGTCCAAACGCGGGTTGCGGAGGAGCAGGGAGACGCAGCGGAAGAAGTGGTCAGTGCTGCAGGCCTCTAGGAAGGCTGGCTGGTGCCCTGTAGAGCAGAGAAGAGCATAACGTTCCTCAGTGTCCAGAAGAAACAATAGCATTCAGTATAACCAACTGTCTCATCAGTTCACCAGCAGTGAATTAGTCTTGGTGGTCAACGTTCAACCACAACAGAAATTAGCTAAAGTTATATCAGCTTGCAAATGCATCATTCTGAAGTAATGAGACACAGATACAGATGGTATTTCCCTTCTTCACTATTTGGCTATAAATGCTAACAGTAAACATTAGGTGTTCCTAACATTAGGGGAAAGCAAAAAAAAAGAATTTGCTTCTGTTAGCAGTTAATTTGTTAATCTAGGTCAGAGGTCTTTAATTAAAATTCAGTCAAAGAAAATTTCCTCAAGCAAAGGTCCAGAACATCAATGTCTAACTTGCATTATGATTCCGTGCCATTTACTGTAAACTGAAGTAGTAGTTATATCAACATCTTATACAGACAACAATAAAGAATCAAATAAAGTACAATTCAGTCATATTTCAACAACATTTATTGTCAATTTTCTCTTTTTAGAGCCATGTAAAATAATCTGGCTCACTTTCTTCTCTGACTGCTGTTTCTCGCCTCGTCCCTCCCCTGTCTGTGCATCACTCACTTGAGTCTCGGTGCTCATCGTAACGCACAGATCTGACTGGCTGAGTAGCGTCACTTGTGATATTTACAACGCATGTGATTGGTCTGTGAGTCTCCGCCGGCCACTAAGCCGGTACCGTGAAGGCTAAAAAAGTTACGCCGATTAAAATAGGACCACCCCATCATTTAGGTCTGAACTCAAATTCTTCCAGATACAATCCAGGACTCATCCATCCACATACTCTCTGAGTGGGTAGGATGGCCCCCGTCTCCTCCCATCACTCAGCACGATGGTAGTCAGTACAGGCATCTGCTACCTGACATAACAGAACTGGCGGCTGGCATGTTCAGCCAGCATTCAGCTGGTGATATTGTGTGATTGGGGGAGTCCTAACTAGTGGGTGGAACTGGATACAACTCAAATGAGGAAAGAACTTGGTGGGGGGGGGGTAATAAATTAATAAAAAAAAAAACCAAACAAAACCTGATGGACGGATGGATGGAATTAGTTTTAACTTGATTAGTGCTCAGTTCTTTCTACAAACTGGCTATACTGGTGTCGCTTGAGACGAAGTTCTCTTGATACCTTCTGTATCTGAAAGAGGACTGTAGTTTGCAGTATCTGGGTACTGCTTTGAGAAATGTGCCCTTATAAAGATCAGCAAGCAGAAAATAAAGGCGTGGCTGGCATATTCACTACACCGCTGCAGGACGTTGCCAACCCTGGTTCCAATTTGGACAGCAAAGCTTAAACTTTAGAGTAGTGGACTGGAAAGAGAAAACCACCAGCAATCAAGCTATTTAAACGATATATATATATATATATATATATATATATAGATAGATACATAGATCAATATACTAGAATTTATTAAAGAAATAAGAGCGTTAGGCCTGGTATTTATTTTTTACTTAATTTCTTTAATAATTATCCAATTCTTATAAACTCTTACAGGAGATCTGAACCAGCCGTGAATCTACATGTGACTTTAGTGTTTTCACACCTACATACACATCGTTGCTGTCCAAAGAAAAACGACAACGAAAAAATCTCCAAAATAGGAACTTTACAGGAGAAGGCAAAAACACTCTTACCTTTCAATGCAAGTCTATGTAAAGAGGTTTCATTCCAAGTGATTTTAGAGCATTTCTATTGGTCCATTATCATGAAATTTTCACACAACATAAAGGACAGCTGAAGTGTTGAAATGATGTAGAAAAATAAAAATCGACAAAAATGGAGATAGTTTAAGGATAAACCAACAGTCAGTGGAATTCTCCTTAAAACATACAGAAACATATAGAAGGCTGCGTGCAGGGAAATGTATTTTGAAAGCTTCATTCTAACTGACAACCTTGAATTCCCGCTACGCACTGAAGTAGCAAACAACAAGCCTGTCTGCCTTCATCACTTTCACTAAATTAGCTTTAAATTGGGCATGAAAGGCCTCAAATAGGGCACAATGTTATTTCAATGACTGAGCACTGACTTTCCCAGTCAGCCTTTTACTGCTTTATGCTAGTGGTAGCCTGGTGAACTTTGGCCTACATAGTTGTCTCTGGAGTCCTGAACCAGTCACCCCAAATGTTGTTGATCAGCCAAGACATACTTGGTGTCTGAAGCTTGTTCCTAAGCTGCTTTTCTGCTGCATGGTACCAGCTCGACTCAAGTTGACTCACTTTTGGTACCTGCTACTTAATTTTCCATTGCAGATATAGAACCTCCTCAGTGTAGCTGGTCGTCATAGCGGCACCAAATGAAACTGCCGAGATGTTAAGGAGACGAATTGTGTTCAAAAGAGTCTGATGGCAGCGAGACAAAAGACTGCTGAAAAAAACAGGGCAGTTTCGGAAAAACTGAATCAGAGTTCAGATGACAAGACGATTCTGGCTGCTCAAAGGTGACGCAAGAGGCTACCCTAACCTGGTAGCTAATGTTAGCGTATGTGTTTAGCAATTCTCTCCAACCAAACAGTAGTCTGTAGCGTTTTTACATCAGCTTTTGGTATCGGCTCAGCTCACTTGGAACCTCGACAGAGATGGTACCAAAAAAGTACCGGGTACCAGGTACTTTTGCCTAATGGAAAACCAAAAAAGCGAGTCGAGTCGCACCTTTAGTTTTGCACTGGAGCTACGAGGCTAATGTAGCCAACAATCAATGGAAGCTTATGTGGGCTACACCAATTAGCATCATGCAAACCATACCTAAATGTTATTGATAAGTGTTTCATATAGCGTCAGAAACTGTGCGAATCAACTTGAGATTACTTGGCAACTTGACAGAGTTTGAGGCGAGAATGTTTAGAATTAGGCAATTATGATGCTAATTGGTGGGGATTTCACTAAATTAACTTGCATTTAGGCATAAAAGGCTTCAAATATGGTACAAAGTGGGTTCAGAGACTGAGCGTTGACCCCCAGTTGGTCTCCTACTGCCTAACGTCAGTGGGTGTCTCATGACCTACATATTTATCTCTGGGGGTACCAAGAGCAACAACTGAGCAGATGGTTAAGGGGTCAGACTGGCTGCTTCGTTTCACCACATCTGCCCCCCAAACGCACATCTGCGCTCCCTCATCTTCACAGGTAAGCTGATTCCCATTACACGAAGCTGAGAGAACTTCAAACGATGTCCACTGGAGACCCCGACTGTCTAACCGTGTGCTTTTCAGGGCTGATTTAAGACGTGTCTCTCACTGGGACACGTGGAGTACATTAAGGGCGGCCATGCCACGGAGCAGACAGTAGACGCTGAACAGGGTTTCCCCCTGGACGAGTGCAGGGGGCTGGTGGTTGACCTTCAGGTGTGAACCTGAACTTGAGCTTTCACACGGTCCCTTAATTATTCCTCTATAAAGCGCAGTAATTGCCAGGGCGGATCGGAGCGTTCCTATAAAGTGGCGCCCAGAGACTAGCAGCCCTGTTCAGTGTCACTAAAAGGAAGCTGGGAAAGGGGTGCTCCTGGAGCTCCTCGTAAACAGGTCTGCTCAAACGAGCCGCTGATTAGCAGCAGTCATCGCAAGCCAGGCATGAATAGAGGAGTAACTGAAAGAGAGTGAAGGTGTGCTTGAGAAATGTGGTCTATTCCAGTGTAGCATGGGATAGAAAGGATTTTAACAAGAGGAAGTGTTCCGAAAAATCGGAAGTACATAGTTTTCCAGCTTTATCCTGAATGTAGTCGATTAGCCATTATAACTTGTCCAGAAATCATTGCGACCAACACATTTCCATTTTAACACATGCCAATAAACTACTTTAAGATGATTAACATTTTAAAACTATAACATTCGTTTTGCTGGGTTTTAAGTTGTAAACTTAACTCCATCTGTTAAACATGACTGCTAATACATCTTCATCACTTCCCTTTGCTTGCTGACTAGTTAGCATGCTAAAGGCTACATGCCTAACAACAAAAAGAAAGCAAATTCACCACAGGTCTACACAAAGTTTACAGCCAGACAAAGCATTTACTTCTCAAAAAAGCATTTTGCACAGCCAAGTTTGCATGGCTAGCTGATTAGCTCACAGAGGCCCTTCCTCACTTTCTGCCGCGAGTGGTCACTTGTGGAAAGAAGGTGTGATGTACGTTTGAGTAGTGAGGTGAAGTGGGCGAGGACATGTTAAAAAACAACTGAAACAGGGCCTTGTATCTGGTTTTCCAATTCAAACTGAACATGTTTAATACCGACCTTTAGCCATAGAATGCTGATATATTGGCTAAAAATACAAACAAACAGCCCCAGGTAGCTTCAAGCAACAAAATCTGAGTTTTGGCAGCAAGTTATTGTCACAGCCAAGAGCTCTCTCTATTTGCCCAGGGTCTGGACATTTATATGTAACTCTAATATTGTCTATACTATTTCCCTAATAACTATCTGTAATCTAATGTCTTCAAAAAGAATTAAAAGAAACAAAGAATATCAACAAAAATGAAAAAGGATAAAAAGGAATGAAAAAGCCTTCAGTCGCTGAGTTCTTGTGGAAGGAAGTAAAAGGCCTTCGCTTTGTTGAGCATCAAATGGCAAGATGGTTCCCGGTCAACCACAATGCGAATATCATCTCAAAACATCCCTTTTTATTCCCATCTGGGGTGATGAGGTGATCTCCCCACCCCTTTAACACAATTCCATACCATTTTTAGTCCCCATCATGTCCAAACCTTACACCTTTTTTGGTAACCCTTAAAACCAAATGTGTGTGATGTGTTTTAACCCACTCTGGTCTCACTCTTACAAGGCTGTTCCCTCCTTACAGGCCCCTCTTGCACAACTCTCCATTGGGCATCTTACACAACCCTCCATATACATACAAGAGTGTACCAGCTATATCTTAAACTGTCATCTGGTACATCTCCCTTCAGTTCAGAAGCTCACCCCAGTTAGATAGTCCAATGCATACAGTCCACAGTCTGCTTCCCTATAGTACATTTTTAGGAAGGCTCCAAGCTCTCTAGTCAATGTTTTATTTAATCTTTTCATAATTCTGCAAGAGGGAGAACGTTTTGAGAACATGATGCTTTTTGAATGCTTCTGCTTGTGCTTCTGCCAGTACGTTGTGTTTGTAGCATCTAGGAAGGTGGTATCATTTTGATCTGTCATTATAATTAGATCCCATAATATCTGTGAATTTAGGAACTGCCACCACTAATCTCTCCTCCGTGTTTACTGTCACTGGCCTGCACACTCATGATGCAAGCTACTTGACTGCTAAATCTATTTTGGAACACAAGTTCACAAGTTCACATCATTAGGTCAAAAAAGTTAGCCCTACCACTAGCTGTAACGGGAAAATATTTGGTTCCGGTACTGATACTCGTAGTTAAACTTGGATACAAGGGTCTACATTGCGTAGTACTATCAGTCAGCCTTTTACTCTGCAATGTTCTACATATTACTACTGCAAAAATATAAATAAAAGTGTTCTCGTGCAAACTGCAGATTTCACGCAACAAACAGCAATCATAGATGGTGAAGGAGCTTTCTAAAGTTCTCAATTAGAATATTATTAAACACTCAACTAGAAAGAAATTGCAGAGCCTAGCATTGTCTGACACATGCAAGTGTGCCAGGAGACAGACCTTAACAACAAGTCGATAGTGTGGGACGACAAACAGCAGTAAAAATGCTCACGGCAAAATCTGTAAAGGCAGTTTTTAGTGTTAAGAACAAGGTAATGAACCCATTTGCCTAAATGGCTGAGCTGCTTCTTTCAGCAAACACTTCTGCCACTGTGTGGTCACTTACAGTCTGAGTTAATGTTAAGGAGAAGAGCGAAAGGAACTGCTGGACTCCTGACGAAGTGATAACCCTTAGCCTCGATTTAACCTTTAGCATAGCAGCCCACTAGCCAGGCCTGTTTGTCCACTAGCCCTGTCTGCGGTGCGCCTCCGTCAGTCAGATGTATCACACAGCAGGGGGGTCTTGCGACCCGTCACTTTAACCAGGCCAGAAAAACACTGCAAGTCACTGATACTGACAGCGTGAACAGCGGTGATATTTACTGAACTGACGCTCAGAGATGCAGCCCTAGTGAACAAGACGCATGTATGAGACGAACAACTCAAGAAGTTTGTACATGAAACAACATTCAGTTCAATTTTTCAGCCAGAGAAGCTGCTGTGTGCTGTTGTGTAAACACCACAGGCTTATCTGTACACTGTTCAGCTCTGTTTTTAACTGTTTTGCACAATAAAGATATTTTACATTTACTTCAGTTAAAAATGGTTCTTATTACCCATTACATAATAGTAAATACCAAACAGATACAGTAAATGAACAAAAAAAGTTTGCATAAGCAACTAAAAAACATAATTCCACAAGTAAATGCCACCTAGCCAAGCTGAGTGTGTTTCATTTGTGACGCAGAAGGGATTTTACCAAAATAAAATATTTAAAAAATTGTATAAATATCAGGACTTCAATTGAATTAGGACAGATAACAGTTAGTATCAGTACTGTTACACCCCTACCTGCCTGCCTTTGGGGATTTGAGATTCGAGACCCAGGCCTAAAGCGCCACACTTGCATTTCTGACTTCCAGTAACAGCAAAACGCAAAGCTTTTCGCAAATAAAAGTGATCTCCATATTAGGGTCCAACTCGTGTAACTAGCTGAAGGTTATTAGTCTCCAGCACGCGCCTCCTCAGACACGTTAGCGGCGCTGCCCGCTGGTTAATGGAGCGGAAAGGAGCCAGGCTGATGGAAGTGTTAATGGCCTTCACTGTGTAACCATATGGCCTTAATCACACTAATCATTCCACTCGATACGTCTATACGCTGATACTTCAGCAGCCACGCTCTCTTACAGTGTGTACACCAGATATAAAGACTTGATTAAACTCCTTGAGTAAAAGACAAACAAACCGGCGTCATGCATGCAAAAACGAAGACCAGTGTCTGAAGATCAGCTCCAAAAGTGCTGTAGTCTTTTGCTGTGTCTTCTATCTAAACCATCATTTAGGCAGAATTATAGTGCAATAAACAGGAAATTACAAAATAAGATGGAAATGTGTAGTGTAGACATTAGAAGAGCCAAATTTGGGGGGGGGGTTCATCCACCCGCAAGGCTTGCACATGGAAAAACAAAATTATAAAATGACGTATCTCAATACACTGTAAACAAGTTCACTGTTTTATAGTTAAACAGAAATAAACAGATGCAGAATGTTTATTTCTGTTTAAAACAGAAACAATGATCACACTGTATTATATTCTAATGCTGATTTGATTGTAAACCTCCTCCTTCAGTCTGCTAACCGCTCCGCACTTTACCTTGAATCTCTTTGGTTAGAATCACTGGGCAGCAGTAAAATACACAAACACTCTCTGGCCACTTTATTGGAAGCCCCTCCGCTGTAGCTCCACCTTGCTTTTGTACATTTAGAGAGTGCTGTTCCATGTTTTGATGTCACTCCCAAAACATAAAGTGTTCTAGTCCATAGGCGGAGCCTTATTTTAGCTACGCCCCTGCATTTTAGAGCAGGAAATGAGGCTGCATCCCTGTCCCTCACGGCCACATGGTGAGCAATTAGATCCCGTTGTTTTGAAGTAAATGTGTCCGAAAGTCTGAAAATCAGTGTGGAACATTAAGAATTGTCACTACCGAAACACATATTTTCTGCAATTAAGTAAATATCTTGTGTTTTAATGAAAAACATGATGAATTTATGTATGTACAGCTGTTCAAAGCTGTGTTTGCTGATCATGTACTGCTAGCGTTTTTGAGTTCTGCTCAAAATGAGCTAAAATTACTATCACTACCGAAACAGTCACTACTGAAACCTTTCGTAGTTTTGGTAGTGTTATGATAGTTTTGGTAGCAACAAAATAGAATATTCAGCTATTTGCTTTAATAAAACAAACACAGTTAAGGTACAGGGTCACTCAAACCAAGAGGATTTTAGTCTAAAGTCCAAGTCAGTTAAAAGTCCCAATGTGTTTTGCATTCTGACTTTGAACCAATTTGGAAGAGTGATCCACACAGTGGACCTATTAGGAAGGTGAAGCTCATGCAGGACAACCAGATAAGGGTTTCTAATAAAGTGGACAGCTAGTTTATTTGGTTGTTTTGTATTAGTTGACTTGCTCTGGACTTACGTGATTCAGCGCTCATCTGAAGTAAGATGTCTACAGCCGGTGCCAGCAAACCGGGACTGCCCGCCCTCAGCAGAGCCACAATGGCCGCCAGGGCCTGGTACTTCAGGAATAAGGCCTGACCCTCGTCTGTCCGCACGTCACCGTGAAGGATGTCCAGAGCCTGAGCCAAAATGTCCACTGCAAAAAAGACACATAAGGATCGTTTCTGATTCAGCTGGTAGTGTTGGTCCACATTTTTTCACACATTATAGCAATAACCTACTAATTTTAATTTGGTTCTTTAGCTTCATTTACCAAACCTGAAGTGTGAAGCCTGGGTGTGATCTTAGAATCTGAGCTCTGTTTTATCTGCATGTAAACACAGTCACTAAAGTAGCTCTTTATCATTTGAGAAAGTTCAGCCTTTTCTATCTCAGAGCGACGCAGAGAAACTTGTTCATGCATTTGTTACAGCAGAGTTGATCACTGTAATGATCTTCTTACTGGACTTCCTAAGAAAACTATACATCTCTTACAACTTGTACAAAATGCGTCAGCATCCTAACAAAAACAAAAAAGAGAGATCAGATCACTCCCGTTTGACCTGCACTGGCTGCCTGTATCATTCAGGATAGATTTTAAAGTTCTAGCTACTAGTTTTTTTTAAGCTAAAATGAACTTAAAGCACCCGCTTACATCAGAGAGTGTGTCTGTTTATGTTCCTGCACATAATCTAAGATCTGCAGATAGTGGCCTTCTACAGACACCCTCTGTAAAATACAGAAAACATGGAGAGACTCTTTCAGTTATTCTGCTTCTAAATTGTGGAACTCAATTCCACCATTTATTAGACCGTCAAGCTCAGTGCTCACTTCTAAAAATGCAGTTCTTTAACTCAGCATTTAACTAAAACTCTACATCTCATGGTTTTTATCTTCTAATTTGATCTGTTTAATTTTCTTCTGATTCTAAATAAATACTAATGATTTCTTGTATAACTATGTTTTATCACCTGTCTGTAAAGCACTTTGAGCTGCCACCGGCATGAAAAGTGCTACACAAATAAAAATGATTATTATTATAAGTGTAACAATTTTTTTTTCTTAAGTAATTTTCAAACATTTCTGTTCATTCGTTTTGACATTAACACAATGGTGTATCAAAGAGCTCAGTAGTTCAGTAGGCAGGGTACAGCTCAGGCAGTCATTTTCTAAGGAGTCCCTTTGTGAAAATCATTCCAGCATACAGGAACTTTCATTCCCTGAAAATTCCCACAATGCACTGCAAAAACTCAACTGTGCACAATGCTCTCCAGCTGGAAACAGCATCATGTCTCTAGCTCAGCTTTCAGAATGTTTTAAAACGGAGGACGAATGCTGTATGTTATCTCACTTGCACCCCCAACCTTGAAGAAATACTAACCGTTTTTCAAACTTATGATTAAAAAACCTACCAACAATGAGGGTTTCGTTCTAGCCAGACACCCAGACATCAGTTTTCTACTAAGTAGCTGAGAAGCTGCTATGAACGTTTTCATAGCAGATTGTTAGCTACTTAGTGAAAGCTGCATTTGTTTCTTGTTTCAAGTTTCAAAGCTTCATTTGTCACATACATAGTCATACATGGTACAACTAGCAATGAAATGCTTGGATAACTGCCCGCTCACATGAAGCAATAAGGTAATAAGAAACAGCAGTCAAACAGAAGAACAATATCGTAGAAAATATATAACAAAATATCCATCTATGAAATATACCCTATGAACACAATGAAGATATGAAATGTTGGAAGTAAAGTGCAAGGTAAAACAGCAACATAATGCTGTGCAACTGAGCAGGAGGTAGAATACATAAATTACAAGCGATCAATGTTAAGTGCAGAGTCCTGTGTGTGATGGGTGTGTGTGTGAGGTGGTCCTGTTTGTCCTATTTGCTGTCGTGGTTTAGAGCTCGGATGGCTTGTGGAAAGAAGGTCCTCCTCATTCTCTCTGTGTTTGCCTTCAGGGAGCGAAAGCGCTTCCCTGACCGCAACAGAGAGAAGAGTCCATTGTTGGGGTGGCTGAGGTCCTTCACGATCTTCCTGGCTTTGGTTCAGCACCGCTTGCTATAAACAGTCTGCAGGTCAGGGAGCTTGGTCTGAATGATGCGTTCAGCTGACCGCACCACCCTCTCGAGAGCCCTTCTGTACTGCCCGGTGCTGCTTCCAAACCAGGCTATGATGTTCCCTGTGAGGATGCTTTCAGCGGTGCAGGTGTTGTAGTTCAGTAACACTTTGGAGGGCAGTTTGAAGTCTCTTAGGTGTCTGAGGTGGTAGAGACGCTGGCGGACCTTCTTCACCATTTGTCTGTTTGACTTCACTCATATGCTTTGATGTTACTGCCACTAATTACCTACAAAATAACCCCCAACACTGTATATTTCACAAGTACTGCACTTTCATGAACAAAATATGACATTAAATAGGCTGACCTGCTAACAGCTAGCAGGCTAATTAGGCCACTTCAGAAATATTCAGCTGCAGACTTTAAGTTGAAATCTTTACTCAAAGGGTCTGTTACTGAAACGTTACCTGAATGTCTATTCAGTCGTCAGTCGACTGTTTTAGCTACAGCTGCCGAGAACTGCTTAGATGAACCACGGTTAGCCTGGCGCTGATGTAACACTGGACAACCCTATAGAAAAGCTATGTGAAGCACTATGCTAGTGGTGTTAATCGAATGAAGAGAGGCTCAATAGCTTTAAACAATGTTTTGTGTGACTGACAAACAGCTTTATCTGGGCCTCAGTGTAAACAAAATGAAAACACTGATGACAGAACTGGAATTTTTTATTTTAAAGTGACATTGAGGCTAAGCACAGCTCAGTGGATGAGCTTCCCAGTCGACGTATTGTCTCCACATCTGTGTCACGCATAACTGAGCTGTCATTGTCCTAGTAGTCTTGAGACCAGGGCCAGCGTTCAAATTCATTTTCACTACGTACTGATTCACTACATGTGGACAAGTGAGCAAATGAAAACACAAGCAATGTAAAGGGCAGCTGCAGTTTTAAATTGAGTAAAAACTGAAAAATCACCTATAAAAATGATCTTGAATTCAACATTAGAAAAATTTGAAAAGTACTATTTGAAAAGGAACAGGAGGAGAGACAATTAAAGAAGAGGCAAAAATACAAAAATTTTGCTGCTTACAAGTAGAGCTGCAACGATTAATTGACTAGTTGTCAACTATTAAATGAATTGTTAACTATTTTGGTATTCGATTAATCGGTTTGAGTAAATTTTTAAGAAAAAAAGTAAAAATTCTCTAAATCCTGCTTCTTAAATTTGAATGTTTTCTGGTTTCTTTGGAAAACACTGATCGACATTTATCACCATTTCCTGACATTTTATAGACCAAACAACTAAACGATTAATCAAGAAAATAATCAACAGATTAATCGACAATGAAAATAATCGTTAGTTGCAGCCCTACTTACAAGCTCGATGTAACTGGTGCAAATCTGTATTTTTATGTTGTTTAATGTTCTAAAAGTACTGTACTAATATATTTTAATCACAATAACAATAATTTATCACCATCATTATGCATCTCACCCTTATTAGTGGCCTAAATTACTTAATGAATATGTTTTAAGGGGCGCTAATCTGCTCTGCAAATGTTCCGAACATCACAAACTGATATTTTCTCCAGAGGATGGCAAGTTTTCAACCGGTCCAAACCGAAGCAGGCTTGAGGAGTATTTCACAAAGCAGGATTTCTGAATTAGCCAGATAACTTAAGCCCAAAATTAAGGACTGTCTAATACGCATGTCCCTCAGCACGTTTCCTATTGGACAGGACTGACTTTGCACTTAAGATAACTGGCTAAAATGAGAAATCCTGCCTTCTGAAATACCCCCTGGGCTGGACTTCAGCAGCCAGAGTGTAAGAAACTCATTTTAGTGGTGAGTAAATGGGCCTGTTTTCTGGCGCTGGGCTGTGTTAGCGTTAGAGGTTTCAGCTTGTGCTGCTGTATACCTGGTATTATCTGCAGGAGAGAAGTAAACCAAGCAGATAAAACCATCTGAAGAGTAATGGGCACGATAAAAACCCCAGAGAGCGGCACTAGGTGTTAGCAGCTCGGGAAAAAAGGGTTTTATAGAAGCTGTAAGGCTGATTCTTCCCAGATGGAGCCCTAAACGTTCCTACAGAGGACTAGCTGGCATCATAGCAGAGTCCTACTTGAGCCAAAGATGCATAAAGCTGTCCTGGGTTTGGGCGGAACACGTCTTTTCAAACTATTCCATCACTCTAGAGAGAGACAGGCCTAATAAAAGATTCTCCAGAGCGAGAGGTGATTTCTGATCGACTTTAATTCTTTGAGAAAGATTAAGAGAATTTGGAACGGATCATCCGTTCTCCAAAAAGTCTCTAAAACAATGGTGATGAGAACCAGAAGGAAAATAGAAACCCTCTGTTATGCCCAGTCATTTTTCATATTTAAGAGAATAGTTTGGTGGTAAATCTACTTTACAGGTTTCTCTCTTACCCCAAGGAGTAGATGAACACGCAAGACTCATCTGGGGTCTGAAGTTTGCTTCTTTAGTTCTGCACTGGTGCTATGTCTATATATGTCTATAATACCTATAAAAATAGAATGCAACGATATGCAAATCATGTAAGCTATATTTTTAAAGGAAAATAGTACAAAGACAACATATCAAATGCTGAAGCTGAGAAATTTTATTGGTTTTGAAAAATATATGCCCATTTTGAATTTGATGTCAACAACACGTTCCAAACAAGTTGGGACGGGGGCCTGTTTACCACTGTGTTTCATCACCTCTTCTTTAACAACACTCTGTAAGCGTTTGGGAACTGAGGAGACACTGCTGTAGATTTGAAAGTGAAATGTTTTCCCGTTCTTGTTTGCATATATTTTTCAAAAAACAATAAAATTTCTCAGTTTCAACATTCAGTATGTTGTGTTTGCACTATTTTTAATTAAATATAGGGTTTAAATGATTTGCATATCATTGCATTTTGTTTTTATTTACATTTTGCACAGCGTCCCAACTTTTTTGGAAATGGGGTTGCAATTTAAACCTTATTGTGGTTATTTCTTTTAGATAAGATAGTGGTCCTGAAAAATAACCAGAACAGTGGCAGGGACAGTGTCAGTTAATCATAATATGTAAGTTTTAAAAAAAAAAACATTAAACAAAAAATACAGGTTTCCACTATCAACTTTTCTAAATAGCCTACTTGTCATGGTACTCACAAAGAGGCGGATGCTGTACATACAAACTCTCAACATAATGTTTTCATAATAGCTGACACTCTCTTGGCATGGTGCAAACTGCATGCCTAAATCATTACACATTTCCCTCAAACTGTAAGTTGTTAGGTAATCTCTAATAGACCTGATAATGTGGTTTCTGACATTGCATTTCACATTGTTATCTAGAAAAATTGACTTAAGTACAAAGGCACAGCTAAATACAGTAGCAGCAGCCTCAATTTGTCTGTTCTTTCTTGATTACATTTGGGGTGAAGGGAACATCTGTTTTTTTCCAAACCATTCCTTTATAGAAGTCTGTTTGTAAAAGATTTGGTCTTGTTTATTAGAAACCCCTACTTAGCCCTATAAAATCATCACGAAAACCAAAAGGAATGCTTCCCTCCATTCTCCCTAACTCGCTTTCATGTTTTGCATTAATCCGGGGTTCAAAAACCTGCACTTTTGCATTTAGGATTAAATGCTTTTTTACAGTGAGGTCCAGCAGGAGCTCTGGAGGCACCTCCAGCTCCTGAAACAAGCAGGAACAGCTTAGGAGAAGCTTCACTGCAAAATGTCAATGTCGCCATCTGTTGGATGGAGAGCAGAATCACTGTGCAGTGGCTTCAGGTAGGGCTCTATAACTTATATATATAAAATTCACATAAATGAAAAAATGGGCCAAGCCCAAAATACTAATGGTTTTTACTAAGGGTAAAACTAAACCCTATTTTGAATATTTGATCTCAAATTAAACACCTTTCTGTAAAAGGTTGTCTGCAAGTTTACCCATAAGATGTCAACATCTATGGTAATTAAAAGGGAAAAGCTATCCCATACTAAGTTACCTTATCTACCAACCCCATTCTCAAAAAAGTCATTACGCTGTGCAGAATGTAAATAAAAATATAATCCAATGGTATGCAAATCAAGTAAACCATATTTTTAAAGGAAAATACTACAAAGACAACATCAAATGTTGAAGCTGAGAAATTTTATTGTTTTTTTTTTAAATATTTGCCCATTTTGAATTTGATGCCAAAACACGTTCCAAAAAAGTTGGGACGGGGGCCTGTTTACCACTGTGTTTCATCACCACTTCTTTTAACAACACTCTGTAAGCGTTTGGGAACTGAGGAGACACTGCTGTAGTTTCTGAAAGTGAAATGTTTTCCCACTCTTGTTTGATACAGGATTTCAGCTGCTCCACAGTTCCCCCCTATACCATCATGAATACTGGCTTTTGAATTGTGCACTGATAACAAGCTGAGTGGTCTTTAGCCCAGAGGACACAGTCCCCATGATTTCCAAAAAGAATTTCAAATTTTGAGCTCGGGCCCAGAGAAGGTGGCAGCATTTCTGGATCCTGTTTATATCTGGTTTGTTCTTCGCGTTTAGTTTTAACTTGCATTTGTGGATGCAGCGCCGAACTGTTTTCACAGACAGTGGTTTTCATAAGTTTTCCTGAGTCCATGCAGTGATTTCCACTAGAAAATCATGTCTGTTTTTAATGCAGTGCCGTCTGAAGGCCCAAAAATCATTGCCAGCAAATACTGGTTTTCACTGGCCTTGTCCCTTGCATACAGAGATTTCTCCAGAGACTTTTAATGTTATTATGTACTGTAGATGATGAAAAGCTAACGTTCTTTGCTATTTTACGTTGAGAAATGTTATTTGCCTGTGCAGTTTTTCACAGAGTGAACTCCTCATCTCACGTTACTGACCTGTTGCCAATTAACCATCAAGTGTTTTTTCTTTTAGCATTACACAACTTTACCAGCCTTTTGTTTCACCCGTCCCAACTTTTGGAATGTGTTATTGGTATCAAATTCAAAGTGGGCATATACTTTTTCAAAAAACAACAAAATTTCTCAGTTTCAACATTTGATATGTTGTCTTTGTACTATTTTCAATGAAATATAGGGTTTAAATGATTTGCATATCATTGCATTTTGGTTTTATTTACATTTTGTACAGCATCCCAAATTTTTTGGAAATGTGGTTGTATTTGTTTAGTGTTGCTAAGACTGTTAAAAGCTTAGTGTTTTGCCAATTGTGGCAGCTAAATATATATATAATACATAAACATTATATTAAGCAGAAAGGCTTAAGGACTGAAAGGATTAACCATTTTACATCAGTGCACTGTGAACTGTAATAACAGCAGCATGCTGTACTTTTATATGAACTATTTCTGATTTGCAGGTAACTGAAACGATCAGAGAAAATGTGTGGAAAGTGTAGACTCTAAACTTTCAACCAATATCATATTTGTATTTGTAAGTAGAAGAGAAAATATTTCATTATGATTTGCATTTGATGAAAAGTGATTGTTGTGTATAGTCTTATTTTGTAGAAAGAAAAACATTCTTCACATTTTTGTCCTGTTTTTGTCAATTTCTTATATCATAACAAACAAAAAAGTCACAAGTGCTGATTTGAATCTGTCAATACAGAATGCAAATCAAAATTATGTAATTGTAAGTCACTAGTGTGGAATGAATTATGCAATTATACTTAAACAGGACAGTAAAACATCAATAATGATGGTTTCTAAGAGTTAAAGCAGGAAAGCACCTCACCCTGGCTGATGGTTTTGAGGATGATGAGGGTGGATAAGAAGCGAGTGTGGAGGCAGGATGTCCTATATAGCGGACAGACCTTGGCCTTACTGCCCTCTCCTGGCCCACGAGACACCTCCTCTCCCAATCTCCTCAGAGTAGACGTTAATGGAGGGTGCTGGAGAAAGACAAAAGCATCCACATCAGGTGACCATTAATTAAAAGGAAGAATATCAGTAAGCAGGAGAATAGTCTAACTATAGAAAACTCAAAGCTAGAAGTTAAACAAATGGAATGGAATGGAATTTAGACAGCAAGCAGCAGTCTAAATTTTGGAAATCTTTTTTAGGCCCACTCACTGGCCACTTTATTATATACCACAGCCTACAGGTCCACATACTGGTCACTTTATTAGAAACACCTACCCTATAGGCCCACTCACTGGCCACTTTATTAGAAACCTCACCTCACAGGTTCACATACTGGTCACTATATTAGAAACCTCAGCTCACAGGCCCTCTCATTGGCCACTTTATTAGAAACTTCACCCTACAGGTCCACATACTGGTCACTTTATTAGAAACACCTCCCTTATAGGCCCACTCGCTGGCTATTTTATTTGAAAACCGTACCTCACAGGTCCACATACTGGTCACTTTATTAGAAACACCTACCCCATAGGCCCACTTGCTGGCTACTTTATTTGAAACCACACTCTACAGGTCCACATACTGGTCACTTTATTAGAAACCTCACCTCACAGGCCCACTCACTGGCCACTTTATTAGAAACCACACCCTACAGGTCCACATACTGGTCACTTTCTTAGAAACCACACCCTGCAGGTCCACATACTGGTCACTTTATTAGAAATACCTACCTTACATGCACTGGTCACTTTTTTAGAAACCACACCCTACAGTTCCACATACTGGTCACTTTATTGGAAACCTCACCTCACAGGCCCTCTCATTGGCCACTTTATTAGAAACTTCACCCTATAGGTCTACATACTGGTCACTTTATTAGAAACACTTACCTTATAGCCCAATTTACTGGTCACTTTAATAGAAACACCTACCCTATAGGCCCACTCACTGACCACTTTATCAGAAACACCTACCTTGTACTTTCACTTACTGGTCATTGTATCAAAAACATCAGCCTTATAGGTCCACTGATTGGCTACTATGTTACAAACACCTAGCTTGAACTTCCACTAACTGGCCACTTTATTAGAAACCCCTACCTTATTGCTCAACAATATAGTTGCACGGTTACAAACCGAGTAGCTCTGTGGTCAAAAAGCAATCACTGATGAAGGTCTAGGGGATGGTTAACACAAACTGTGCCTAAATAAATGGGCTTCACCAGCACTGTGGAGCGGTGAGAGTGCAGCTGTGGCTGCAGTACCTGTGCACTGTGCTCCAGTTGTGTGAGGGTGCAGTAGATAAAGCGCAGTAATGGCAGCTGCAGAGACAGTTCAGCCTGCTGGAGCTGCTCCACCAGCACAGGAAGAACCTGCAGGGACACAAGATGGACCTCAGGAAACAGGAGAACAAAAGTGTCAGCCCGCACCACATGAGACTTTTTCAGTCTTTTAGCTAACTAGAGCATGACTGGGTGGGCAGCGAGGCATGTGTAAGCAATCACACCCAGGTTAAAAAGCCCATTGTTGCACCAACTCTATGAAAAAAAGAAAGAAAAAGAAAAAGAAAAACAAGAGTCTTCGTTCATTTTGTGCGTGCTTAAACATGCAGGTGTGTGTGTGTTTGGGGGGCTTCCCACATTTACATTACAGGCCAAAAGTTTGAAAGTGAGCAGTGAATCTTGCAACAACCGACGCAACAAGAAGCATATTTATGTCTAACAAATATACTGCTGTTCGTTAGGGGTGGGCAATAAGGTGACCAAATGCTGTCATTATTATGATCAATTTTGTCATGATATGCTTGTTTGCAAACCTGCCTTGACTAGCAAACCAAAAGTGGGCGTGGCTTAGACAGAAATGAATATGAGGTGCTGGAAGTGGGTACATTTACTGACTGCAATAACAGACTAATCAAGAAATGTTAACATTAATAACAAGTAGTTAATGGAATGTAATTTAGACAGCCAATCAGCCATCTAGATTATGAAACAGGCATGCTTATTGGCTCTAAATGACTGACTACCTGTGTACTGATATTCAGTACTGAGAATTTTTCCATACTTGATAGTACTGAAGTAGTTTGGTGAGTACCATGAAAGTACTGAATTTTGATACCAGGCCTATTTTTTGTTGTGAAAATGGCTTTACATATAGCTTGATTCTATGATTCTTTTTTCCATACAACCCACTTTTACTGTGCATTAAATGATTATTTTTACAAACTTACTGACTACTTACAAACTAAACTCTAAACTCAGACAAACCTTGGAGCATCGCTCATGTAGAGTTTGACATGGAACTCCATACTGATCAAATTCTCTCTCATTTTTCCCCTGTTCTGATCCAACAAGCTGGCCGTCCACTACCCAGTCAAGCAGAGTGGCCAGCAGCTTCACCGTGGAGGAGCTAAGGGGGCCCTAGCATGGGGAAATAAAAGAAAAAAACATTTATTTTTAGCGTTGACTCCAGCGTGTGGTGTGTGTAGGGTCATTATGTGATGTGTGGTAGACTAGCGAAGAAAAACAACCCTGATTAAACAATTTAATGACAGTAAATTAGAGGCAAAGCACGCTGATTGCGGTAAAACAGTCTTTCCTAAAGATGTATTGGGTTTCAGACTAATCATTCCAAACCCCTTAAAAAGGATCTACAGCGTTAACGAAATAAGGAATCTGCTGCATCTGTAGAGTTTGGTTGATGACCACTCACAATAAATTATTATTTCTTCAGAAAAGAACAGAAAACCTGTCAACTCAAAAATCACTTGTAAGAGACGAATTCTTCATTAAAAAGTGTTTGTAATTTAGGCTGTGAATAATTGGTTCCTTCACAGTTGGGACTAGTTTTCCAGAGGGTGGTAACTGACTTTCACAGGCACCGTCTCATCACCATGGATACCAGTAAACCTTAGAGAAAGCAAAGTAACCGGAACCGCTTTTGTCTGTGTTACTCCAGTGTTGTAAAGTTGGATAAAACTTTCTACAAACAGAGCAAGGTGAAACACGTCCAGGGTGGTAGATACAGAACATGGTGGAACACGAACAGGATGGTAGATACAGAACATGGTGGAACACATATAGGTTGGTAGATACAGAACATGGTGGAACACATATAGGTTGGTAGATACAGAACATGGTGGAACACATACAGGATGGTAGATATAGAACATGCTGGAACGCATACAGGATGGTAGATGTAGAACGTGGTGGAACACATACAGATAGGTAGATAAAACAAGGTGGAACACATACAGAAGGGTAGATATAGAACATGGTGGAACATGTACAAGATGGTAGATACAGAGCATGGTGGAACACATACAGGATAAAAGATACAGAACGTAGTAGAACCCATACAGGTTAGTAGATGTAGAATGTGGTGCAACACATACAGGATGGTAGATATGGAAGGCAGTGGAACTCATACAGGACAGTAGATATAGAACATGATGGAACTCATTCAAGATAGTAGGTATAAAACATGGTGGAACACACACAGGCGGGTAGATATAGAACATGCAATTCCAACAGGATGGTTGAGTGGTGGGTAACAGTCAAACAATGATATAGCACATACAGAATGGTAGACATAGAACATGGTGGAACACACAGAATGGCAGATACAGAAGATCATGGAACTCATATAGGACAGTAGATCCAAAAGATGACTGAATTCCTACAAGATGGTAGATATAAAATATGGTGGAACACATGCAGCTTGGTAGATATGGAACATGGTGGAACACACACAGGACGGTAGATGCAGAATGTGGTGGAACTCATACAGGATGGTAGATATAGAACACGATGAAACAAATACAGGATGGTAGATATAGAAGACAGTGGAACTCATACAGAAGGGCTAGATATTGAACATGGAACTCAAACAGGATGGTCAAATGGTGTGTAGCAGTGGAACAATGGTAGAACACATATAGAATGGTAGATATAAAACATGGTTGAACACATACAGGATGGTAGATATAGAACACGACGGAACAAATACAGGATGTCAGATATAGAAGACAGTGGAACTCATACAGGAGGGTAGATATTGAACATGGAACTCAAACAGGATGGTAGATATAGAACATAGTTGAACACATACAGAAGGGTAGAAACAGAACATGGTGGAACACACAGAATGGTAGATACAGAAGATGGTGGAACTCATATGACAGAACATGGTAGATATAAAATATGGCTTAACACATACAAGTAAATATAAAACATGGTGGAACTCATACAGGTCGGTAGATGTAGAATGTGGTGGAACTCATTCAGGTTGGTAGAAATAAACCATGGGAGGACTTACCTTGCTAGCTTTGACTGAAGGCTGAGATCCGACCTGTTTGGAAGCTTTGAGGTCAAATGCCTTTGGCACAATGTTTTCCCGACCTCTGTGCGCCACACCATCATACTTTCTCTAATGAAGATATAATACATACACAAGGTTAGACTTCCTAAGATCTCCAAACAAGACAATCTCAGCCCTGAAGGTTTCACAGTCTTTTGGATTAGCCAGTAGCAGCCTTAGCCTGCTAACACATACACAGAAGACTAAAAACTAGCACCTGTTGGGAAAGGTGGTAAGTTAGGGGCACCAGAACTAACTGAAGCTTATACCCCACCAATTAGCATGGTGTTAAACACACGCTTAGATGCCTTAAACCGTGCTTAGGTGGTTTCATGCATTTACCACTATATAAATTTGTGAGGTACTAGCTTTCATTATTTGTTAGCTACATTAGCCTCATAGCTTCAATGCAAAAACTAAGGATGCAAACTTAAGACACCCAAGTGTCTTGGCTGATCGACTACACTTGGGGTAAAACTGTAAATTTGACTTTTTGCAAAATTATTTCCTTAAATGTAACAGTAAACAGACTGCTGTTACCTGCAGATTGTCCAGGCGAGCTTGTACTTTCCGTGACTGGCTCTCTAACCGCTTGTTCTGCTCACTCACTTCATTTAGCTGCACACATAAATCACACATCTCAGTGCATCAAACCCAATTGTCTATTTCAATCACAGCAAAAAATTCTTAACCACAATTTTATTTAATCATGTTCTTTAGAATTGCACAAAATTTACAAATTTCTCTGTACAGTTTAATCCTATGGTCCTTTTTCTGGTAGAACGTCCTGGAAAGCTACTTCCGGATAATGTTTGTTGTAGAGGTCTGCGCGGGACTCCCGCCCGCTCCCGTGAAATTTTGTCCCGCTCTTGCAGAAATTCGGTATTGTTTCTCCCGCTCCCGCCCGCAAACGAAATGATATGTCCCACTCCCACCCACGCAGATACAATATCTGACACAGTCTAATCACAAATACATTATGCTCTAGTGAAATAACACAGTAGTCGTGGTCATCAAGCTCACTATGAACTTCACCAAACGCCATTTATTTCCAGTAAACACAAAGCAGGAATTAAACCACAGAGCAGTAGATGTTGGTGTTTGCTGGGCAGCTGTGGCCGTCGGACTGAAGGCTCCGCCCTCTCTCTAACACCTGATTCACACATGCTGCCCCCTGCATGGCCTGAGTGAAGTTGCAGCACAAGCGCTACAGCTCGGACACACTGGCCTTTTATGCAAACAGCATTTGTGCTGCGGATCTGCGAGAAAGTTATACAGACATTAGTTTTTCCAGACAGACAAAATGGTCACATCAGTCACTCTGCTCAATGAAAATATAGTTTATAAATGTACACGGTATATTTGTTTATCCTGGACAGCACTCCGACTTGTGATTAGGCAAAAGTTTCAAGCCAGCTTCACAGGCGCAGCTTGTTTGAAAGCACTGACCACAGTATGTGTGTATGATGCAGTGTGTGAATCAGGCCTATGAGAATTTGCATGTTGTTCACATGATCGGTTGCTCGAGATTGACTTTATTCATTTAAACTGTTTTAACGGTTTCCTACTCGCTCCCACGAGCCTTACTGAAAATTAGTCCTGTGCTGCAAGATATTGTCGCAAGATATTGTCCCACGGGTCCCAGTAGTGCAGACCTCTAGTTCGTTGTAAAAAGTTCTAGACTTCTGATAAAGAACTGAACTGAACCAGACTGAAAAATTATTACCTGTTTCTTCATGGTATCATTTAACTCCTTAATGGAATCAAAACTGGATTTGATCCTTTTATTCTCTTTGGTCTTTTCTTTGAGGGCGGCCCTCAGCTTCTCCATCTCCTGCTGGTATTGCTTTGGAAAGGAAATAAAAAAATAAAAGAAACTGAAATAAACAATATAAATTTACTGATGCACGAGCAGTACAAGGTCCTACATGGACACGTCTATTTCAGTCTTTAAACAAGAGTCATCAGCCAGGTTATTGCTTGCCCTCACCTTTCTGAACAGAGCCTTTAAAAATTTCCCATAAACAACACAGCAAGAATCAACTAAATACAAGTACAGCTGCAGGTTCATGTGCTGTACAAACTACAAAAGATTATACTACAGCACAACTGTGTCACTAGGGATGCACAATATCGATAAAAAGGTCATGTTATGATCATAACGCTATGTATCACGATTGGAAGCTGCCTTAAAATATATTAAAACACACTGAAGAGTCACGGTTAAACCTGTATGATGTGGTTAAAGCTCAGCCTGCAATTTTGACCAAAATTTACATTTCTTGGCTTCTGTGAACGCTTGCAAGGGTACTAATGACCAGGTATGATCTGAGTGGTGGATTATTCTCAGTACAGCAGTGACAATGTGGTGCACTGAATCCACAATGACTCTACGGTTTCTGAATTTGTTTTAAAGAGGCATTCTGGCCTAAAACTAGAGTTTAACATGCTTTCATTCTGTAGGGCAGCATTCCATGGTGACAAAATCCACGATTTTCTATGCTTTTTATGACATCTGTCAGTGCAGAAGGAGAGCTTTCATTTTCTCATTTATCTCCAGAATGTCTTACAATGTTCATGTTAAGCACTGATGAGTTTTTAATTCAGAAATACTTTAGAAATTGGGGATCCAAGGTGCTTTATCCTTCTAAGACTACAGCAGTTCAGCCCTGCCCATCCACCCTAAAGTTATAAGGAGTTTTTCAGCCTGGACTTACTTTTAAATACAAATAATAACACAGCAGCCAATCAGAACACAGCCCTGTCTTAAAGGCCCAGTACAAAAACAGCCTGTTTTTGAAAAAAGGTTACATAAACAAACAAAAAAAAAGTACAAGAAAAATGAAGGAAATAGGCCCTTGACGGTAATCAGACAGTGAGTGTGGTGAAAGTGAACCTGCTGCAGGTTGTTGATGCGGCTTAGCACCTCCTCCTCCACCCCCTGCAGTCTGTGGATGGTGTTTTGGTGCTGGAGAAGTTGTTTCTCTCTCTGCTGGAGCTGCTGCTCGCGCTCGAACAGCTCTGCTGCCCAGACCTGCTGACTCAGCCTCTCTGCCTGGACACACAGTAAACATGCTTTTCAACAGTTAATCAAAAAATCTAATTTACCCCAAATGTAGTCAATCAACCAAGACTTGTTTGGTGTCTGAAAGTGCGCCTCTTTATTTTTGCTCTGGAGCTACGAGGCTAATGTTGCGAACAAGTAATGGAAGCTTATTATCCACCAGTGCTAGCATGGTGAGCATGGTGCTAACTGCATGCCTAATTCACCCCACATTTGCCTCAAGCTGTGTGGAGTTGTTGATTGACCTCTGACAGACAACGATCGCTACAAACACCACAAAGTTAGAATGACATCACTGCCAAAACTGCACATACATAGTATTTTTTCAACCTTCCTTTTTCAGTCAGAGAACACTCTGCTTCTGCATCACACCCACAGATATAGATGTCGCGTTGGGTCCAATTAGGCATGTCAACGGCAGCGCCATTTTGGGGAGGTCAACATCGCTGCAAGACTGCATTCAGTGCCATTACAGAGCGGCAGTTTAAGAAAGATTCTGTCCAAAATTACACTATTTCAGGAATATTACACTCAGAAAGTGGGACAGGATTATATAACGGAGGGAACGCAGTGATCCACACTCATGTTTGTGTGATGTGTATTGTTTGTGTGATGCTTGTGTAGATATGGTCGTGTGGTTGGTGATGCACAGAGAACCTGCTGATGTGATTGTTCTTCCTCTGGTTTTATATTAAGCTTATTTCATTTAATAGTCTATTCAGGGGGTCTTAACTTTATGTAGAAGATGGTTAATGCTTTGAAGGTTATACCACTCCTTAATCTGTGTAGATATTCATAATAGGTTAACGTAAGCACCTTGTTACACTAAACTGAAGCTAGCTTATTTGCCAGCTTCTTGTTAGAATTTTCCCGTTCCACCTTAAATGGTGAAGCTTCAGGCAGAAAGTGACTGTTGCACCATTTAAGGTGGAACAGGAAAACTCGAACAAGAAGCTGGCAAATAAGAAGCCAACTTTAGCTTCATTCTTCTTACTGTGTTTTGGGGGTTTATTTTATTTTTGTGTGTATTAAGATTAGACATGATTCACACATTGATGGATTTGCTGATGTGTCTGATTGTGTTTCTCGCGCAAAACTCGGTTTTTAACATCAGGTGCAGACTGAATACTTTCCTGCTGGTCCGGACGGCTAATTAGCACAATCGGTTATTAAAGAAAGTCTAGATTAATCTACATCTGAGGATTATAACAAACCAAACTTGGTGAAAATCGGTTGAATAATAAGGAAGTCGTGGCCGATTTAATCCTGAGACTCATCGTCTCTCAATGCAAGTGAATCTGTTCACAAGCAGATCTTGACCGCTCCAACATGGCGGACGCGCAGACGTATCGTCTCAGATAGAGAACAACAGACAATGCGGCATCTAGGCGTGTATATCTATGATCACACCGCTGTCACCCGCACTGTGCAGTCCAGTGTTTATACAGGCCGCACAGCAAGCAGCAGAAGCGGTGCGATAGCTCTAAACATACTACTACGTACAAAAATGGACAAAAGTACACACATGCCTTGTCTGATTGCTTCAACGATTTTTAAGGCAACTGGAGAATAACAAAGCCTTATTCGGAAGGAACACGTTTTATAAGAGGAGGTGGGTATCTAACCCACCTGTCCTACCTAACAAGTGCAGCTCATAACGTAAAAATCACAGAAAAACTTTTGATTTTATGCAGTGAAGTTGACTGCTGGCAGCACAAAATTGGCATTAGCCCATGTCCATAGCCCACCAGAAGAGGGAGATATAATAAACAACAAACAAATAAAGACACAAAACCTGCCTAGAGTTTTAATCAGGTCTGAAATTTTGGTCCTAACCCAAACGCAGATGGAGAAATTTCTAGCCAAGCTGGACCCAACCTGAGACACAGCATGGTGTTTTGTGTCCCAACTCCAACTTCAACCACATTATTAAGTTTTGAATTAGATACTGACCCGAGTACAACAAATTTCTGTCCAGAACTGACCTGAACCAGCCAAAGTGCAGAATAAAACCTGACAGGATTTTAAAAATTAAGTTTAAATTCTGCTTTAAAAAAAATATCCATTAAATAATGCTAAAGGCTATAATGAGCTAACACTATTAGCGGTCACAGAACAACTGTTTTATCTCACATTTTCACACTTGACAGAGAAAAACTGAAGCTTTGTTTGATTCTGCAAATGATTCTGTGTAAATGTAGACATTTGTGTGAGTTTGTGCACAGGGTAGTGCAGTATATCAGTTCATAGCCAAAGGTAAGCTAACTGGCAAGCAAGGTTGCTAATTAACCAAATTAGACCATTTAATCATTAATCGAGATTATTATAAACGTTTCCAGCTGTGTCTTGAGCAGGTGCGAAATGAACTGGTGCAGCTGGTTCAGGTTTGGGTCAGTTCTTGTATTTGAACGTGCAGTCGGAAAACACCTTTAAAAAGTGAATGCTTCTTTATTGAAGCCTGCAATGAAATGTTCATCTCGTGCATGTTCAAGATCTATATGACAAAAATTAACCACACAAATTCTTGAAGTTATTGACCTGTTTTCCCAATATCTTCTCAAGAATTATTATCTTGAAATTAGTATAAAATCTTTTTGTATCAATGCAATGCTACCTGTGTTATCCCTTTGGAAGTAAGATCTTTGCTGTGGTGATGTAATGCTGATTTGTCCTATTTCTGCATGTAGAACATACAGAACATATAATATAAAAATAAGACCAAACACTCTCTTGGTTGAAATGAACTGCACTTTCCTGATTCGATTCAACCAGTGTGTCCCAATTCAGGGGCTGGATCCTTCGAAGGAAGCAGTCTACAAAGGCGGTCCTTCGAAGGTTGCACCGAAATAAGACGGTCTGCCCTACGGCGGATTTTCTGTTTGCGTCACAGCACCGCTGTTCCCATCCTTACCCTGCAACACGAAACGCCACTCCTGTCAAGTTCTTTTAAACTTCTAGTTGTTTATTTTGTAATTTATTAGAGCTGGAGATGCTTCACCGCCGGCTACTGATTAGATCGTTTTTTTTATTTAACATGTTAGCCTTTTGCCTCAGTTTAAACCCAAAACTTAGACCGATCAGGCATAACATTATGACCAGCTCCTTGTCTCTACGCTCACTGTCCATTTTATCAGCTCCACTTACTATATGGGTGCACTTTGTAGTTCGAGTGGATCAGACACAGCAGTGTTGCTGGAGTTTTTAAACACCTCAGTGTCACTGCTGGACTGAGAATAGTCCACCAACCAAAAATATCCAGCCAACAGCGTCCTGTGGGACAGCGTCCTGTGACCACTGATGAAGGACTAGAGGATGACCAACACAAACTGTGCAGCAGCAGATGAGCTATCATCTGTGACTTTACATCTACAGGGCGGACTGACAAGGTAGGAGTGTCTAATAGAGTGGACAGTGAGTGGACACAGTGTTTAAAAACTCCAGCAGCACTGCTGTGTCTGATCCACTCAGACCAGCACAACACACACTAACACACCACCACCACGTCAGTGTTACTGCAGTGCTGAGAATGATTCACCACCCAAATAGTACCTGCTCTGTGAGGGTCCATGGGGGTCCTGACCACTGAAGAACAGGGTAAAAGGGGGCTAACAAAGTATGCAGAGAAACAGATGGACTACAGTCTGTAACTGTAGAACTACAAAGTGCACCTATACAGTAAGTGGAGCTGATAAAATGGACAATGAGCGTAGAAACAAGGAGGTGGTCATAATGTTATGCCTGATCAGTGTATATTTATATATATTTAACTTATATTTAAAAGTGTCTCTTCAGCTGCCGTTCGCTTCTCTGTTGATGCCGCCATGTTCTCGAATCCTCTCCAGCACGCAATGAACCTCAGGATCCTTCGTTGCCATGAAAAGGAAGGACACATCTCTTGGCCGCATATGAACTAGCCTCCGAAATGGGACAGCCTAGTTGCGCCGCTGTGCCGCAATCGGCCTTCAAATGCAGCCTCCGAAGGATGCAGCCCCTGAATTGGGACACACTCAACATTTATTCCCCATTTTCTCTCAAGCGTGGGCCTCGTGGACTTTGGGGCTGAGTGGGTGACTCCAGCATGCCAGATTAAAAAAAATAAAAATAAAATTGAAGTACTTAGAGTAAAGGTCCAGCTGGGGAAATGCAGGGTAAAATATGTTAAAAGTGGGAGGCAGGCTGTGGGAAGGCAAACAAAAACTCTGAACCTGACCCAGTCCCAATACATAGAAAGGACACTGGGCTGGATGAATATTTTAAGCTGTAATATTTTAAGCCGGTACCATGTTTCTTCAGAACCAGGTAAAATGGGTAAAGTGGGTAAACTGGGACTACCTGCAGTTTCTCATAGATCTGGACCATCTCCTGGTGCACCTGTCCTATAGGGGTGGGACTCCTGATTAAACCCTCGGTTTGGTCCCTCAGTCTCTCTCTGCCAAACCAGCCCGGCTCAGTCACACATGAGCTGGAGCTGCACGCCAGGTTTGAAGGCAGCGTCACGTCTAGAGGACAGAAATATAAATTAATATCCAGAATGAAGTTCTAATAAAACTGTTATCTAGAATGAAGATGGTTGTAATAAAATGAATACTCAGAATAAAACTGTAACAAATTTAATGTCCAGAGTGAAGCTACAATAAAATCAATACACAGATTAAGGAGTGATATGACGATACACTAAACTTTGTACTTAGCCATGCTGTTTGACGTCACTGTAAGTGGCTGAAATCGTACCTGTCTCTGTGCACAGGATGTTGGTTTCTTCAAAGGAGTTTATTTTCTCAATGAGCTCGTCTTCACTGCCAGAAACACTCTGAGTGGAGTCAAGTCTGAGTGGAAGTTAGAAATAAGAGTGATTAGATGATGCAGCGATTTGGGAATGTTAGATTTCACTATAATGCATTATGATAATCATAATTACAGAAGCACTACATTTCAAAAACACTGAAAAACTACAGTTTTGTAGTTTTTATTTAAACGTTTGCAGAAATTAACTGTTTAAGAAAGAACAGAAATTAAACAATTGGTAAGCATAAATGAATTTAATAATATGACATAGAAATACTAACGATATCCATCATATATATCATATAAAAGAGTACAGTGACGGAAATAAGTGAAATAATGAAAAAACATAATTAAGGCATAGAACGCGAGAGGGAGTGTGTTATCGAGAAATATTCAAATTTGTGATAACACACTCCTCGAGTGTTCTATTGCTTTTATACAACAATTAAATAAGTAGTAGTAAGAAATTAATAACCTGGGCCGTGAACACGGGGTTTAATATTTTAATGTTCGCAGTTCCTTCACCAAATTATAGTTCCTTAACAAGCAGCTTGTTGCTTCGTCAGAGTAACGGACTCCGCCCACTCGCTGCACAGCTGGCAGTTTGTTCTCCAGATCCACACAGACCACACTTTGGGAATTTAGTGTAGCCTCGTCTTCAGAGTCTGACCAAATTGGCTGTCGGTCAAATGTGATCTTAAAAGTGTCCATTTTTTGTTTGTGACAAAGTAAGAAGTAAAAACGTTCAAATCGCTTGAGTGTCTCCTACAGCTGTCAAAGTCGTTGCTTAGCAACAGCGTCTCAGTGGAGTGATACAGTGTTCGTAAAAACCCATGATGTTTTGGCGAAATAACAGCACGGTTAGAAGGTTTCTCAACCAATCAGCCTGCGTGGTCGAAACTGTTGTACAATGTCATATCACTCACCCAAGCAGAATAACGTGTAGACTAAAGTCCGTTCCAAATGCTCACTTACCTCTGAGGTCGACTTGAGACGACCTCTAAGAGTTCCTTGAGGGCTTTGTCATAAGACTTCATCTCCCGATACCTGGGCGACTTTTTGCGTCCATCCTTTCTGCCGACGGCGCCTGAGGACACAGTTCAGATCATTTCACAGCCACAAAGTTTCAGTCGCCAGGTAAGAAATCAAGAAAGCAAGAAGATAATTCAGATCTCAAGGCAGATAACTTGACCAAACATCTTGTGAATGGATATTCACAATATATTAATTAACATTTACTGACTAATTTGAGTAAAACACTGAATGAGTGATCGGTTTTACTGGTCAGAACGTAATATTTTAACTGGTAAAAGTGTGAATACAGTTTAAAAAAATATACTAAAACATATGGAACGCCTACCATGCTTTGCAGGCTTTTCATCATCCTCTCCACTTAATGCAGGGTCAGAAACCTGGTGGTCAGTGGAATAATTCACAATTAAAGCTGTGAAATAGCTACAGAGGAGTTTTCTTTAGCCAGCCTGAGGAACAAACTAACTGAACTAGCTTAAAACTTAACTAAGTCTGCATTAGCCGAACATCTTATTTAACCTCAGTAATAAACAAACTATCAAATACATTAAAATACATTAACTTACAGGAGCGAAGTGAAACATTATATACATCTCAGTACATTAACTTAAGCTGGCTATATATATATATACACACACACACACACACACATATACATATATATATATATGTATGTATATATATATTATTGTTAGTCGTTATTATGTAAGCTGTTACTTAACTCACACTAATGATAATCAGTACTTAAATGCATTAATAATGTTAACTCATTCACATATTTCTGCAATTAATATACACTTACAGAACTTTAACACTCCCTCAATTTTATCAGAACTATTGTATAATTCAATCGTTGAGCTTAACAGAGTCATTCAGAGACTGTGTTGTGATGTCTACAAAACAAATATAGCCATTTGATTGATCTGCATGTCATGAATGGATTTTTAGAAAATGTCTGATTCCAAAACCTTCTCAAAACCATGCAAAAATGTATCAGACACCATTCCATGTAATACATTTCTGTGAAGGAGCTTTTGGAGGTGGACGTCCGGTTCCTATCACCACAACAACAATGACTCAGTAAGTTTCTCCAGAACAGAGCATTTCACACCAAACCACTCTGAATGACTCTGCTTACCTCTCAATTACAGAATTAGACAGAACATTTGGAAAAAAAATACGGTGGAATAAATATGTTTAATAAGCACCTTTCACTAATGACAGCTATCTGAAAACCACTGTAGCTAAATAACGTTGCATAATTGCTTACACTACCTGCACAATATTAACTGCAGCACATTTTAACACGTTGTACAGACGAACAAAATGAGATCGTGATAGCTACTAACCGTAAGCATATGTTTACACTACTAATAAATAACAGACTTAGATAAGTCTTAAGTTCCTAAAGTGTTCATAATAATGAATACGGTCTAAAATGAAGTCCCCTCAGCCACGGTCCCATCTAACGTTACTCGAGTTCCTTTTACTGGAGAACATCGAAGCTAAAGTCAGCTTCTTGTTCGAACTTTCCCGTTCCACCTTAAATGGTGCAGCAGTTACAGGCGCCAGAATGTAACTGCTGCACCATTTAAGGTGGAACGGGGAAGTTCGAACAAGAAGCTGGCGAATGGAAGACTTCAGCTTCGTTGGAGAACATGTCACGAGTTTGGGTTCTGTGTTCAGACCGAGAGAGAAGCAGAACATAGCAGTATAAACATATATATGTCGGTAAGATATATAAGTTAACAGGTCGGCTTTACAGAAAACAAACAAACAAACAAACAAACAGATAAACAGACAACCACGGTTAGCTAGTTAGCTTAGCATCTGTCGTTACCTTCAACCAATCTAAATTAGTCACTGTATGTATTTTAATGCTTTTTAAAAATTTAACTCAAATGAATAAATACCCGTGTTCTTCTCTCTAAATACTTTTTCTTCAGTATTTCTACTTTTAAGTTTAAATCGGTGTCGCTGCTGCTCATCTTCAAACTCGCCGCCACTGCTGCTGTTGCTGAGCAACAGGTTTCAGTTTTACACTTTCACAATAAAAGTCCGTTTTGCAGTTTCACAGTGAAGGTTGTACATTCGTGGTAATGTTTCTCCCTGTTGTCATAATTTTACCTTTTTTTTACATTTTTATAGTGAATTAATTGTTTTGCAGTTTCACAATAAAGGTCCCACTGTTAACATCTGGAAACTTTTTTTTTGTTCAATTTTACAGTAAAACTTTAGGTATGTCTGAAATGGAAACTGACTCTAAGGGATGAAGGCAAGACCACGTTTAGTTTTATGAAACGGTGCCTGTTAAAGCTGTTTTATCTGGCATAGTTTTTGAGTCAATGTAAACAAATCCTGTGCTGCTGAAGACAATCCACAAATGACATGAACACAAAAATATCACTGCACTATAACAATACAGAGCCCTCACTTTGTGTATAAATGGAAATGATTAAGCTAAATGATTAATGATTTAATTAAGCTTACAGCAGTTTAGCCCTGCACATTGATAATAAGGAGTGTAAAATGTAGAATAATAAAAAAGGACCAAAACTATAAAAACACAATGCTGTCACTGCTTAATAAAGCACTTTTAACTGCTGTCCACGGTTGACTCTCTCCACATATGTAGAGATTAGGACAGTCCCAGATAAATGATATAAAGAAATCCACTGATTTGGTGGGAATTAAATTTAGGAGTTTATTTTTTTAATCCATTGTGACTTCATTTATCTATTTATTATTATTATCTTATCTATTTTTATGTTACTATGCATGCAGTAAAATCAGCAGTATTATTGAGCAGGAATTTAAGAAGAGTTCCTGAGTTGTGTGGTTATTTTAAATTACATTAGTAAAATTATGTCAACTGCCATGGAAATTTGCAAGTTCTGAGACTTTGAAAATTACAATATTTGCACACATTTAAACACCTTACTCTACATGTTTTGGCAAATGAAGGAAGAAAGAGAATAGAACTTTTTAAAAAGTAGCAATTCAGTGCTTGGAACCCTAATACACTATGGCTCAGTTTCCCAGACAGGAAGAAGCCTAGTCTTGGACTAAATATCCTTTGAATGAGACATTTCCACTCAGAATGGTGTATAATAATGTTAATAGGAAGTTTGTTCCCCCTTTGCTGCAGTAACAACCTCTACTCTTCTGGGAAGGCTTTACATTAGGTGGAACATTGCTGTGCGGCTGAGATTGCATTCAGCCACAAGAGGGTTAATGAGGTCAGGTGCTGATTTTAGGTTATTAGTTCTGGATCGTTCCAACATCTCCAGAATCACTCCATCGCTTCGGAGAAGACAGTTACACAGCTCCACGTGGCATGGTGACTTTAGGCTAACGAACGGCTGCTCTAGAGCATCCCATTCTACTGGTCAATCCTTATCTATAAGGACTGCACAAGCTGCGTGTATAGAATAGATCACCTTTGTCTCCATAATCAGGAAAGTAAGACAAATGTTTGCATCACCGCATGACGTACAAGAACATTGCGAAGTGAGAGCTATGTAAACACGTGTTCGTTAGGCCTCAGCATCTCCTTGCCTTCTTGCCTGCCAGAAACTCTGCTATAGCACGAACTGCTTGTAATGAGGATTGGCTGGGCGTCTGGCTATGAGGCTCATTAGCTTGTTCACAACTTTACCCCCTGACCAAAATCCAAGATTGATGGTGCTATGCAGCTCAGAGTGTGAGACATGGGCTTCGTACGTCATTATTTTTGGCACCATACTGTTTCGGGGCTTGGCTGGAGAATAGAAAGTAAATGTCAGGATGGAAATGCGGCAATTAGCAATGAAACGTGCTAGCAACTAGCATGATTTCAGAGTTGCTAAAGTCTGCATGGAGCTTTATGCTTTGTGGAGAAATGTTAGTGGTTTTGTGACACTTTGGTCACTCTTGCTGTCACAGTAATTCTCTTAAATTGTTGTACTTGTCTGTGCTGTGCTGTTTTTTTCCTATAAGCCGGTGGGTGACCGCTTATGAGCAGCAGCGATCAATAGGCTCAGGATTCATGTTTTCATCAACGGTAGATCAGACCTGGGTGTAAAGTTTTCTTTGTTCAGCCAGAAAAATGTCATGCAAAAGATGTTAAACAGCATCTTATAAGCCTTGTATTAGTTTTACCAGAGTAGGGCCGGTTATGTAATTTGTGTGTGATTTGACTGACCAATTCGTGTGGGATAAAGGATCTGTGTGATTTCCCACATTTCAGAGAATGTGTAAGCGAGGAGAACTGCCACACTGTAATGCCTTCCAGGTTTGTTAAAAGTTAGAGGGCGCCCCCGAGCGAGTCCAAAATAAAAGGGTTGCTATGGAGCAGTTGAGCAAATTAATAGTTTATAAATACTTAAACATATATATATATATACACATAAGAATGCATTCATTTGCCTCATGTACGTTCATGATGTCAATGAGGGTGAACCGCTTTATGTTGCAGCATTTTTTGGAACTGAGGTTTGTAATAATAAATATATAATATATATAGAATATTGATAGTTTGCTGTTTATTTTAACTTGACAAATTTCTTCTAAAACTATTCTTGTTAACTTTATTTGTGAAATTTTCAAATGGAACAGTGTAATATAGTCTTTAGTCTTTATTCTTTTTCTTTAATAAAAAAAAATATTAAGTCCATGCTGCTCAGCTGTCCAACCAATCAGCTCTCAGTAGCAGTGTAGCTAACCAATCAGTACTCCGTAGCAGTAATGCTAACCATTCATCACTCAGTAGCAGTAATTCTAATCAGTCAGCACTCAGTAGCAGTAATGCTAACCAATCAGCGTTCAGTAGCAGTAATGCTAACCAATCAGCGCTCTGTAGCAGTAATGCTAACCAGTCAGCACTCAGTAGCAGTAATGCTAACCAATCAGCACTCAGTAGCAGTAATGCTAACCGATCAGTACTTAGTATCAGTAATTCCTACCAGTCAGTATTCAGTAGCAGTAATGTTAGCATCCTACTTCCCAAAACCTGTTTGCTGTAGAAAAAAGGAAACTTACAGGTGAGTTTTCATTCTTTTTTAGTGAAATACATCCTTCTACTTTCTAGAATTAAAGAAAGGTCCTGGTTAAATGGTTAGAAACTATTTTAACTTTTCGTTTTTAGCTGTTCAGCTTTGTTTACCTCCATTCATTAAGGACTTGCTCATGGGCACCCTCCTGCGTTTTGCACTCTGGCGTTTTGCAGATGATAAACATCAAATACCTTGTCTGTGTGTGTTTTTTATTTAAATACAGGTCAACAAATCTCTAATTTCAATTTTGTACATTTTTTAGTTTAAAATATCAAAGAAATCAGAAATGTCAGTTCTGAAGCAGAATGATGTCTAATTAGGAACGTTGAGAGACAGTTACTAGCATGTCAATGTCTCACCTCTGTATGTGTTCTCTGACATTTGCTCCCCTCATTACAGCGGTTGGGGGGGCTGCGTCCTCGCTTGTCATCCAGTGACGCAGGTACAGCTCGTTAAACCTGCTCAGAAACTTATGATGCATTCACATCTTCAGTTTCTCAGCTCTTGACCAGTTTGGGTGACTGCATTGGCGAGGGACGCAAAATCATAACCCTGTAACCTTTTCCCCAAAGAGCGGGACTGACGGTCAGCCACAGTCCAGTCCACAAAGTATGGACTATCGGGGGGGCCCTGAGAACCACTGTACTAGAGCAATTAGCTTACATTTTTGTGGCTATTGATCAGTGGAACCCTCAGGGCCTTCTAGCCCTTTAGGGAAGATGTAATGATTTCTGGGAACTACAAAATTAATATTTTAAATTTTTAGCTCATTTTTATTTTACGTATTTCGCAAGTATTATGATAACATTCTTATTTTATTGTTAGGTATTTTAGAAACAAAATGATTCAAATCTTGAAATGAAAAATGATACAATCAGGATTTTGGTCTCCATCGTATCCAGGTTGATGCAGCCAAGCAAGCTCTGCCATGTGTTAGGACTTCAGAGGCTGAACTGAAAGCCCTTACGCATTAGATTAAGTACCAGCATAATTATGAAGTGACACAGGAATCAACCAATCACGTTGTGATTTATAATGGAAGTTTTAGATACGTCACTGACTGTGAATATGAGTCGTGGTCTAACCAGGTTTCAGTCAGTTGTTAGGAACGGAAAACAGCAGCGGCAGCTCTGTGCCAGGACTCTTTACTGAAGGAGTAAAAGTAAAACTGATATGTACAAGCTTAAATGTATGTTCATGTCTGTAACAAGCTTCAAAGAAAACATATAGAATGTCTTTTCCAAGCTTTGAATGTCTGTGTTTAATGTTGAACAGTTGAACATGTGCTCTAGCATTAGCTTAGCACCTACATACTATTAGAAATCCAATAAGAAAATTAGCTTCATCAAAGAGGTGTTTTATGGCCCAAACCGAAGGCCTAACAGTTCCCCACTGAGCTCCTGAAGGCCTAACCAATGGTAGATCTCACTTAGCTGTAAAATAATTTGATTGGGTAGTTTTCCATTGGCCATTTCAAGAATTTAACTCTTTTGTTTTTTTAACCAAAACTTAACAATGTTATAAAATTATTACTACAATACTTTCAAAGGTTTAATACAACAAGCATGATGACTCTATTAAATAAAAACATAGTAAAAACTGCAGACATTTTTGCTTTGCAGAATACTTTAGGCCTTCTCTAAAGTCATAGAAGGCCATGAGGTTTTCTCATTGCAGTAGTTGAACTGAGGGCCTAACACGTCAGATTAACCACTAGCATAATTAGGAAGACACAGTGGAATCCACCAATCATATTTTCATTTCCAGTGAGTGGAACCATTTTTGTGAGAAAAAAAAATGTCACTTTAGGCCTGGAAACATCACTGTCAGCGATAAACATTTAGCATGCTAGGACTCTTTACTGAAAGAGCCACAGTAAAAGTGTCTCAGGGTGAAATATGTGTTAATCTCTGTTACAGTTTTCAAATAAAACATGAAAGGCCCCTTTTCCCAAGCTTCAAATGTCCATGTTTAATTTAGAAGAG